TCGGGCCTAGACCCTTCTTCAGGTTCTGTTCACTTTGACAGATGCCTCTGAGAAAGCTGGGCCAGGCTCAAGTACCATGCACATGTCAATAAAGGGTGACTTGGTAATGGGATACTGGCCTCTGTGGAGTTATTTCAGTTATGGACAGACAAAGCCTGGTTAAACATATCTGAAAATGTGATTTCTTTTTCCCTCTTGCAGTGGTCTGTAGCAGCAGCTGTTAAGTTAGAACAACCAACAATGACACAGCAGTATTCCTCCATCTTATAACGTATTAGTGCTGGTTTGCTCGATGCTCAAAGCTTTCAGTAGTTTGTTTCAAATCCAACTTGGTCATCAGGAAATATTTGCCATAAAACATTTCCCCTGGTCATCAACAGTACTAAATTTGAGAGTGGTGTTTATTAGGGCACCAAAATGAAGTCTTCATTCCTGATTAAAGAGAAAATTATTTTGACAATCTGAAGAGTGCACAGATAAAGGTCCAGATAGGGAAGATTAATTATAGTCCTTCAAACTCTTATGATAATGTTGGTTTTTGTTCTGTGTTTTTGAAGTTGAATGTTGAAAATTATAACATAAACGCAGCATGTTCCAAAGATTGCTGCATCTGATCCTATCTAGGGACAAGGACAGAATTTGGCGTGATGTTTTTCACTAGGTCACTCAAAACAGTTCAAGGTTCATTAAATAGCAGTTCGAAGGTCAGGATCAGTCAAGGGAGGGCCAGGGATGACAACTCCATGTGGCTAAAGTATTGCTGTTAGTTGGTTTCATGTGGTTAGGACACAGGATATCCCATGGGCAAAAGAGTTTTTTAGAGCAGCTAAATAGCTGAAGTTATGCCAGTGATGCTGGAGTGCAGCCTTGTCAAACAAAGTGGAATGAAATCTCAGGATAATTATTTGTGTAGCTACCTGGGAATTGAACAGTGGTTGGCTGCATTGTTGTTCAGGAGCTGGTACTACGCCTGTGTTTAGATACTGGAGTACAGTCTGACCAAAACAGTTGGATGCAATCGGAGGTAGAGCAGATCACCTGTAAAAAGAAGGCAAAGACAGCTATGTCTGGAAGAAGATGAAAAAGAACTGGAAAAGTGCATCTTTTGGGTGACAATTGTACACTTTGGATCTTTGGTGGCATAGAGTTCCAGTCCTTCTGTAGAAAGAAATTTTATAATCAGTGGTCATCTGGGTGGACTGCTGAGAAATTTGTGTCACAAAGACAGAGATAGCTAGAAAAGTTCAGCAGGTCTGGCAGCAACTGTGGAGAGAAATAAGAGTTAATGTTTTGTTTCCAGTGACTCTTCGTCAGAACTGGGTTCAGAGAAAGAGTCACTGGACCCAAAATGTTAACTTTTTTTGAAACAGGCCATTTGGTCCAATAAGTCCACACCAAGTCTCCAAAGAGAATCCCACCCAAACTCACCCTGCTACCCTCTCCCTGCATTTCCGATGGCTAATCCACCTAAACCTGCACATCTTTGGACTGTGAGAGGAAACCAGAGCACGTGAAGGACACCCATGCAGACACAGGGAGAATGTGCAAACTCCACATAGACATCTGCCCGAGGCAGGAATTGAATCCAGGTCCCCGGTGTTGTGAGTCAGCAGTGCTAACCACTGAGCCTCTCTGTCCACAGATGCTGCCAGATCTGCTGAGTTTTTTCTAGGAATCTCTGTTTTTGTTTCTGAATTACAGCAACCATACAGCTTTTTCTTTTGGATTTTACTGAGAAATTTGTGGCAGCTGCCTGGATTGTATTTGCCACTTAAATTGCAGTCTGTTGGGTGTTCAACTACAATTTATCAGTTAATACTCATCCGTCTCATATTCATTTCAGATGTCGTATATGCATGTTTCTAGTGGATTCGTTTACTTTCTAACTTTATGTAGTAATATTTATTTGAGAAAATAAACATTTTGAGAAAGATTTTTGTCCTGAACTCACGAGAACAATTCACAGGAATACCAATTCAGGAAAATCATAACATATACTGTATGAGATGAGGATGCTGTTAGGTAGAGGTGATGCCATGGAGAATGCATATGTTAATACTAATTTTAAAAAAAAATCAGGGCCATGATATTGCCCTAAGAAATGAACCAATGAATGGCTAACCTATTTTGTTGATTTGAAACAGGTGCAGTGCTTATTTGTGAAAACAAGGTGTAGAGCTGGATGAACACAACAGGCCAAGCAGCATCAGAGGAGCAGGAAGGCTGACGTTTCGGGCCAAGGACTCGTGGATCATATCAAATGCATATCGCTTCAGGTACTTGCCACAAGCAAAGCTACTGACCATACTCAACCAGCACTTGCGAGAGTGTCCAACATTAGATGTGATTCTTCTATTGGATAACATTGGCTATATTTTCCAACAATCAATTTCGGATTGTCAGGCAGGCTTGCAGTATGGCACACTTGTGTCAGTTCCTGCTTAGTTTAAAGTTTAAACAAAACCAGGCAATTAACTGTCAAATCAGAATAAATATGTTAATTCTCAAAGGCAACATGTTTGTCAGAGTTCATTTGCCAACAAATTAGCACTCTCCTCTCATGTAACCTAAAGTTGTTTTTGCCATTCAATTGGCATTCTTGTGAATTGTCCTGAGTAAGTTGAAATATTTTTTCTTGTCCTAACATGTCTTTTATTGGCAATACCCAAGTTCTGTACTATCAAATAACTAAATGTTTCTTTTGTTTGTTAAAAACTATTAGAATCTTGTGGCTTTATTCTTTTAGCAAACGTCTGGGATTTAAAACTTTATCTACTTTAAACATCACAGTTACAGGTCCCCAACCACATTGTATCATTACATTTGGCAATCTTGTCTGGGATCCTAATACTCTGTAAAGAGTAATTTTCAATGTCATCAGAATCCTAGTCGAAGCTTCCCTCTGTGTTTACCAGACTTATAAACAATATCATGTTTTGAGAATAGTATGTTTTTCTTAAGTTGCAGCTATGCTAGTTTTAGATACAATGATTTTGCCTGTACCAAGTTATACTATTTTCATCAGGCAAAAAGAACTTCTACATTTTGTATGAACCTCAGAAAGACTTTATGGTTCTTTCTGAAAGTTCTGTAGGAGGAAAATCATCCCAATTTAATTTTCTGATCAAATAATGAGCCTGTCCATTTTATGAGGAGTGCACTATAGCTGCATCAACGTTGATAAATCAAACATGGAGATCAATTTATTTTTCAACTGACAAAATCCTTTTTGATGGACCTCTAATTAAAGGATTGAAAGTGAATTTAAGAACATAAGAACTAGGAGCAGGAGTAGGCCATCCGGCCCCTCGAGCCTGCCCTGCCATTTAATAAGATCATGGCTGATCTTTTTGAGACTCAGCTCCACTTACCCGCCCACTCACCATAACCCTTAATTCCTTTACTTTTCAAAAATTTATCTAGCCTTGCCTTAAAAACATTCAGCGAGGTAGCTTCAACCGCTTCACTGGGCAGGGAATTCCACAGATTCACAACCCTTTGGGTGAAGAAGTTCCTCCTGACCTCAGTCCTACATCTGCTTCCCTTTATTTTGAGGCGATGCCCTCTAGTCCTAGTTTCACCTGCTAGCGGAAACAACCTCCCTGCCTCCACTGTTTCTATTCCCTTCATAATCTTATTTGTTTCTATAAGATCTCCCCTCATTCTTCTGAATTCCAATGAGTATAATCCCAGTCTCCTCAGTCTCTCCTCATAATCCAACCCTCTCAACTCTGGAATCAACCGAGTGAATCTCCTCTGCATCCCCTCCAGTGCTAGTATATCCCTTCTCAAGTAAGGAGACCAAAACTGCACACAGTACTCCAGGTGTGGCCTCACCAGGACCCTATACAGCTGCAGCATAGCCTCCCTGTTTTTAAACACCATCCCTCGAGCAATGGCAGACAAAATTCCATTTGCCTTTTTAATCACCTGCTGCACCTGCAATCCAACCTTCAGCGATTCATGCACAAGGACACCCAAGTCCCTTTGCACAGCAGCGTGCTGCAATTTTTTACCATTTAAAACATAGTCCACTTTGCTGTTATTCCTACCAAAATGGATGACCTCACACTTATCAACATTTGGATATTATGAACCAGGGTTAGTCAAAAAAGAAGGCAGTAATATAAAAGGATGAATTATAAGAATAACAGAAAGAAGAAGTTAAGATTTATATATGTATTTGTTTTATGGTTTCATTCTTAAGTCCAGAAAATTATGGAAAAGAATAGTAATGAAATACGAGATGAGTTTCCTCGATGTCAAGATGGTTTTGCTTTGTAAGTAAAAGCATGGGTTTACATGCTTGACTGGCCTGAATTAGCAATCATGAGTGAGGAGAGGCAGGTTTCTCATGTGTGGAAAATTACGGTGGAGAGGTATTTTTCAGACCGAAAGTATAAAACAAAAACAGGTTATATTTATGTAACACGATTGACGTAATTAAATTTCCCAAGACATTGTAGCAATAAAAAACAAAGTATGGTACTGAACCATATAATGAGATATTGGATCAGATGATCAAAGCCTTAATCAAGGAGGTGGATTAGAAAGAATGTTGCAAAAGGTTGCAAACTAGAGAATGAGGTAGAAAGATATAGGGAAGGTAATATAGAGCCTAGGACCTAGATAAATGAAGGCACAAAGACCAAAGGATTGGTAATCAAAATCAGGGATGTTCAAGAGACCTTAATTAGAGGAGTGCAGATATCTCAAAGGATTTGAGGGACTATAGTGATATGGAACAATTTAAAAAGATGACAATTTTAAAATCAAGACATTGCTGACCTGAAGCCATTGTGGGTTAGCAAACACTGCTGTAATATGTGAATAGGACCTTGAGTGAGTTAACACATGAGCAGCAAATGTTTGGATGATCAAGTTGACAAAGGATAAAATGTGGAAGACCGGTCAGGTTCGAGTTTAAATTGGTAAGTCCAGCGGTAATAAAAACATGACTGAAGAGTTCAGCAGCATATGATCTGGAAATGAGGCAAAGTCAGGCAATTCCCATCAAGGTGGAAATAGGCAGTCTTCATGATGGCAAACACGAGGTCAGATCTCATCTTGAGGATATGAGAGGAAGAAAAAATTGTGTCTATATGTATTAGAAGAAGCTGCAGCATTGATTATAGAACTAATATTTTACATTGTAATATTTCTTTAAAATATATTAAGAATGTTCAATCCTTCAATAACTAGTTTTTCATTTTTGTCAGTTTAATCACTGATTTGTTTTTATATTCATGCATGGCGATTTTTGATCTGATCACATAATAATCATTATCTGTGTTACATTCATTTCAAGTTTAATTCAAATTTTGATGTTGCTAATACTTGGAGATTTGAGAAGACATTTTAAAAATATCAAAAAAGTGATTTGATTATTTCATTAGCTGCTTTTCAATGTCAAAGAATAAGTAGTTAATATAGTTGACTATATAAATCAATATGCACCCTTTCTAATGTCTTTTCTTTATGCTTCTAAGTCACCAAAAATAATCATGGCATGACAAGGAAAGCAGCATCTAACCATGGCCAAAGCATCAGAACAACAGGAACCCCTTGAGCACATTTCGCCATTCAGGCCAATTTATAAACAGCATTACTAAAATTAAACTGAGATTCAACAACTTTTTATCAATTTGACTCTGTATACAGATAATATTCAAAGCATTAACAATCACACCATTTACAGAGACAAAAGCAAAATGCTGCCAATATTGAAAATTTGAAATAGAAGATGAAATACTTGAAAATCTCAGCAGGTCTGGCACATCTGTGGACAGTGAAAGAGTTAACATTTCAGGCTGATGACCATTTTGTCAGAACACATTAATGAGAAGGATTCCTAGTCTTTCAACAGTGCCTTGCAGTGGCTAATGATGATAGCGAGCTCAGGAAATAAATCTATAACATCTCAGTTTCAGTTAGTTAATTACATCTGTGTCTCTGCAACTTCATCCCTCTGGCAACAATCTAAATCAATTTCCTTGCAAACCGACTCATTTTTGACTTCAAAAATGAACGTTAATGCACATTTTCGCACCATCAGACCAACAGTGTATTTTTAAACACCATTAAGCATTTCCTGCTTTCACTCCAGTCTCATTCCATCTGTTGCTAGAATCTTATTCATGCCTTCATTATCCTATACTTGACTACTCCAAAGCACATCTGGCAGGTCCCTCACATTCTACCCTCTGTAAACTTGAGATCAAAATCTCTGATGCCCATATCTAAACTCACACCAAGTGCTGCTCACTTTTGACTCCTGTACCCAATGAGCCACACTGTCAAGCCAAGTCAAGCAACATCTTGATCTTAGAAATCTCATCCTTGCTTTCAAATTTCTCCATGGCCATGGCCCTTCCCATATTTGTAATCTCCTCAAACACCACAACTCAGAGATATCTGCAGTAATCTAACACTGGCCTTCTAAGCATCCCCAATGTTAAATGCTCCACAATGGTGGCTGCATCTTAGTTCCTCAGGCAGCTCTGCTATTCCCCCCCTATACCTTTCTGTCTTTGTATCACACCCATCTCTAAGTCCCTCAAAAAAAAACTCATTTTGGTCATTTGACATATCTTCTTAAATGACTCATTTGCCATATTTTGTCTTATATCATTGCTGCGAAGGCCCTTGAGATGTTTCACTATGTTAAAGGCACCAAATTAATATGTTGTTGTTGTTTTTGCACAGAAAATAAGGTCATATTTTTCAAGAAAATTAAGATCAAGCTTCTTCAGAGTGAACTGCGTAATGCAATAAAGCACAGAGCATGTACCCACCCCCATATCCAGTAATTAAACTTAGAGAACTAAAATGATAACCTCATACATCAGAATCACTCTTAAAATCTGTAGTTTGAGAGTTTAGCTTCCTCTTGACAAGACATTTTCTCTAGAAATGCATTGAGATTGTCTATATGCTATGTAAGTGGCTTGTCTCAAACTGCCAGATATATATTTAATAGATTTTTAATGTAAGTCCTAAGTTAAAAAAACTGATCACTTGAAAGTACAACAATCAGAACTTTGGGCAAGTGTTAGCAACTGAATCAAAATGAATTTATGAAATCTGATAATACTATGATGATTCTTGATTTATAGCATCTAATTATGTTATAATAACACCAGTAATACCTGCTGTTAATTAGTCTATCTGGTAAAATATTTAGTAGAAATTGTAAGCAATGGTATTTCCTTAAATTATTTGGTAGTTTTAATGACTTAAGTGCATTGATACATACCTCTACCACAAGAACTGCAGACACTTGTGAACATCACCACCTGCAAGTTTCCCTTCAAGCCACCTGACTTGGAACCATATATGCTTCACTGTCCTGGGTCAGAATCCAATAATTTCCTTCCTAAAAGCACCATGAGTGTATCTGATCCCCATGGACTGAAGTATTTCAGGAAAATAGCTCACCACCATCTTCTCAAGGGTAAATAGGGGTGGGCAACAACTATTGTTTAGCTAGTGATGCTTACATCCTGAAAGAATAAAACAAAAACTCATAAGATCATATTTTCTAGCCTGTTGATTATTCATCCGGAAGAGAATGGTACTTCAGTTAGCCTGGATGTTAATAAGGTAGGGGAAATTTGTTCAAGAATAGAACTACAATCAAGTGCAATTAAGGTTAGTTGTAATGTTCTCACAGCTTTAAAAAAAAAGCTATCAATTCCCATTAGTTCATAAGCGAAGTAGTAGAGAACTACTGCTGCTCTTGAAACTTTACCACAAATTATCATCTTTATAAGGGGTGGTGGGGGAAACGAGGAAAATCAAAGCAAAGGAGAAAAGATCCATAAAAGTATGTGATTCTATTTCATCCAAATACAAAAGAATGATTATAACCTTAAACATTTAATCTGGTTAGAAAATGAATTTGCAGCTCTAGAGAGAATAAAGCTTCGGCACATTATGATTTTTTTCCCCCAGCAATATTCAAGTTTGAGTAAAGTATTGAAAATAAGAAATGCGCCATCTGTTTAGTTGACGATTGGCCCAATGATGCCGATCTTTCAATAGCTTTAAGGCTCTGTAAAGGTGCCCGACCCCCTTCACCTGCTCCACTGTATGACAACAGCAAAACAAGATAAAAGTCATTTGCAGAAATCTTTTCTATAGATCTCATTCCTCGATTAGCTTTCCAAAACGGAACGATCTGTCATTATAAAGCCTTGTGTAGAGTGCTTAATGTGAGATAAAATAGGAATGAAAGCGTTTGTTTTTTTGTTAACAGATGGTGGGTTCTTGGCACTAGAAAGTAGACTGTGATGTTCCATCAGCATTAGTTATAGCAAATTTTAATAGATTTCTGATTTATTTAAAGAATATAATCACTGATTTTATGTCGGTTGTTTTAATGATTAAAAACATCTTTATCACCATGGGTTGTGCTAAGTAGAGAAAAAAAATTGAGAAAATAAAACTTAATTAATCCTTGTCAATTATGGAAAACTGATGGTGTGCGCTGCAGAGTATTTAAGAGAGAACCCGGACAGTATATATTTTTAATATAAAACAGTTCTCTGACTCCTTTGAAGGGCGTATTATGTTGCAGTGCAATTACCGAGGAGCGAATTAATTTGCAAGCGGCCGGAGCATATTGATTAAAGCCGTGAGGGAATACGTCTTTCCCCCTCAAGAGAACGGGGCGGTGGGGAAAGGTTGGTGTGAATTGACTGGGAGGGGGAGGTGGTCTGGGCTGTTTGCAGCCCGTTTCTCTTTCTCTCTGTGGGGACTCTGTTACTGAGTTTATGAATGACAAATACAAAAGAAGAGGGGAGTGGCTGTTGATTTCTCTCTCTCTTTTTCTGTGTCTCAGAGTGTCGTGCCTTGTAGTCAGAGAGCAGCAGACGGTGCACCTCTGCAAGATTTGCCTCGCTGGTAGTGGGGAGGAGGAGAAAACGCTTGCACACCCGCCGCGCCTTTTGTCCCTCTCGGGGCCCCGTCGCCCCGGGGTGTGATGGGAGAGACCATGTCGAAACGGTTGAGAGCGGAGCCGGAGATGGAGGAGCGCTCGTTCTGTAACCCGTACCCGGACTGCCGAGGTAACGGCGCCGCCTCGGCACCCACCAGCAGTACCGGGGCCGGAGCGCACGATCAGCAACAGGAGGCAGCGGACTGCTTCGACTCGAACGGGAAGGTAATGGAAATAACACCAACAGAAATAGCGATGGAGGGGCGGGCTGGGGATGATCCTCCTCCGCTGTGACAGGGGCCTTTTGGCCGATTGTTCACCTGTCGTCTCCTTCCATTCCCCCCATCACCCCATCATCTCGGGGGCTCCTGCTACCTCCTCCCGGGGAGGGACTGGGACTTGTTGGTTCGGCCTCTTCAAACCCTGCTGTTTCATTTAATTGTCTGCAGCCGAAAGCAGGACAGACAGGCTAGGCACGAGGGGCTGAATGGTCTACCTCTGCTCCCAGTTTCGGTGACTAGTAATTCGGGTAGTTTGTTTCCTGCCGACGTTTATGCCCCAACATGGTAGGTGGTGACAGTTGAATTCTGTACAGTTCTTGAATTTTAAAAAAAAAACTGGCCTAATGACAACCATGTACCCGTTATTGATTGCTGCAAAATCCCATGGTGTTAAGTAATGCCCTTACAGGGAGACAAATCCCCCGTCCTTACCTAGTCTGGACAACATGCAATTCCAAATCCACAACAATGTTGTTCACTCTTAATTGCCCTCTGGGCAGTTGGGGGATGGGCAATAAATGCTGGCTAATCTAACCAGAAACCCCACGTCCTGTGAATATTTTGTTTTAAAAAGCATTTCAGATGTACAATAGCAATTGATCAAATGTAATAGAAATATCGGATTTCATTTCCGTTAGCCAGGTTAAAGTCTCAGTAGTGAAATCACTCCTATCAAAACAACAAATGGTATCCTCCCTGACTGGGGAAAAAAAAAAGCAAAAATCCAGTAAAGCAAAGAACTGGATGCTGGAGATCTGAAACAAACAAATGGACATTGCTACTGGAGAAAGTCAGCAGTTTTGGCAGCCTCTGTGGACAGACAGTTGTTTATTTCTCCATGGATTTTTTTTTAAAACAGGTGTTGCTAGACTGGAGTCTCTCTGGCAATAGAGATAGTAGGAACTGTAGATGCTGGAGAATCTGAGATAACAAGGTGTATAGCTAGATGAACACAGCTGGCCGAGCAGGAGCAGGAGAGGAGCATTTCTGAAGAAGGGTCTAGGCCCGAAACATCAGCTTTCCTGCTCCTCTGACGCTGCTTGGCCAGCTGTGTTCATCCAGCTCTACACCTTGTTATCTCTCTGGCAATATCTGTTTGTCTATCCCTCTTCCTCCTTTTGAACTTGTCTGCAGCCTTAGACACTGTCGACCACACCATTCTCCTCCATCTCCTGATTGGTCAACCAGCTAGATGGAACTGTTCAGATTTGGTTCCATTCTTATCTCTCTAATCAGAACCTGAATGTCACTCGCAATAGCTTCGCTTCCCACTCCTATATAATTACTTCTGTCTACCGTGGATCTATCTCCTAGCTGCACCTTACTTCCCTTTAGGTGCAGTGACATCAAAAAATTGCAGCTATCGTTTTCACATGTACAATTGTCTTATATTCTCAGTTTAATTTAGTTTTTGGAAATCTGAAAAGCCAACTGAATGAAGCCATAAAGTCATGGTTTAAATCAAAATAACTTTACCAACCAATTGAAACATGAGTACATACTAATAATTATCTTAAATATTTCTCAGTCAATTGTTAAATATTAAAATACAATGAACGGTTACTTGTACACTAAAGCAAAGTTCTTAGCTCAATTTTCCATCTACGCTCATTTGACTTGCACTCCCAATAACTCAAATTAGGTATTGAGAACATAGAACAGTACTGGACATGAGTGGGTCCCTTGGCCCACGAAGTTGTATCAGACGTAACACCAAACTAGACTAATCCCTCCTGCCTTTCGTCCATATCCCTGCATCCCATGCACATTCACATGCTTGTCTTAAAGTCCCTCAAACAGCCCTATCGTATCTGCCTTCACCACCACCCCGGCAGGGCATTCCAGACTCCTACCACTCTTAAATAAAAAAAAATTGCCACTCACATCTCCTTTGAACCTTCCCCCTCTCACCTCAAATGCATGCCCCCTAGTATTGGACATTTCAACTATGAGGTGCAGATTCTGACCGTCAATCCTATGTATGCATCTCATAATTTTATAGACTTCTATCAAGTCTCCCCTCAGCCTCCTCCACCACCCCGAAGAAAGCAACCCGAGTTTTTCCAGCTTCTCCTTATAGCTCATCCTGTCTAATCCAGGCATTACCTAGTAAACTTGTTCTGCACCCTCTCCAAAGCCTCCATATCCTTCTTGTAATGTGGTGACCAGAACTGAACACAATATTCTAATGTGACCTAACCAAAGTCTTGTAAAGCTGCAACATGACATTCTGACTCCTGTATTGAACACCCCAACAATAAAGGCAAGCATACCATATGCCTTCTTTACCACCCTATCTACTTGCATGGCCATTTTCAGAGAGCTGTGGAATTGAACCCCTGAGATCCCTCTGTACATGAATGCTGTTCAGAGTCCTGCAATTAACTGCATACTTTTCCTTAACATTTGAGCTCCCAAAGTGCAGCTGTTCACACCTACCTGGATTAAACTCAATTTGCCATTTCGCCACCCATATCTGCAACTGATCTTTATCCCACTGTATCCTTTGACACCTTCTACACTATCCGCAACTCCACTGATCTTTGTATCATCTGCAAACTTACTAGCACGCATCTACATTTTCATCAATGTCATTTTTATATAAAAATATCTTTCACAAACAGCAGAGGGACCAGTATGGCTCCCAGTGAAACACCACTAGTCACAGACCTCCACCCAGAAAAACACCCTTCCATCACTATCCTCTGCTTTCTATGGACAAGCCAATTCTGAATCCATGTGGCCAAGTAACTGTGGATCCCATGCATCTTAATCTTCTGGATGAGCCTACCCTGATGGACCTTGTCGAAAGGTTTACTAAAATCCATGTAAACAACATCCACTGCTCTACCCTCTTCGATCGCCTTAGTTACTTCCTCTAAAAATTCAAATTTAGTGAGTCAGACATGACCTCCCCTGCACAAAACCATGTCTTACTAAACTGATTAGGCTATGCTTTTCCAAATGCGAGTAAATCCTATCCCTAAGAATTCTCTCCAAAAGCTTCATGAACACTGATGTGAGACACACCGATCTGCAGTTTCTTGGATTATCCCTATTTCCCTTCTTGAACAGAGAGGGGAATGTTAGCTACCTGCCAGTGCTCCAGGACCCCTCGAGTGGCTAGTGAGGATACAAGGATCTTGGTCAAGGCCCCAGCAATCTCCTCTCTTAGCTCTCTCAATAACCTTGGGTAGATACCATCAGGCCCTGGGGATGGGGACTTATCCATCTTAATACTCTTCAAGAGACCCAACCCAACTTCTTTCTTGATCTCAAAGTTCCCCAGCATGTTAGCATGCTCCACACAAATCTCACTGTCCTCCATATCCTCCTCCTGGGTGAATACTGACGCAAAGTATTCATTTAGGATCTAGAACGGATCCTTTTCGTCCAAGTACAAGTTCCCTCCTTTATCCTTGAGTTGTCCTGCCTTCTCCCTAGTTATCTTCTTGTTTTTAACGTATGTGTAGAATGCCATGGGATTCTCTTTAACCCTACTTGCCAAAGTCATTTCAAGGCTCCTTCTTGCTCTCCTAATTCCTTGCTTGATTCTTTCCTTGTTTCTTTATATTCCTCATAGGCCCTGTTTGATTTTAGTTTCCTAAACCTATATATGCTTCTTTTTCTCTTTGACTAAATTCAGAACCGCACTTGGTAACAAGAGTCCCTTACCTTGCCATCCTTGTCCTCCCACCTTACTGGAACATGCTGGTCCTGAACTTTGATCAGCAGGTCTTTAAACAACTGCCACATGTCAACTGTGGACTTGCCTGAGACAGCTCCTCCCAATTAACACTCACTAGCTTCTGCCTAATACTGACGTAATTTGCCTTTCCCCAATTTAGTACCTTCCCGCAAGGTCCTGACTTAACCTTATTCATAGCTCCCCTAAAACTATAGGAGTTGTGATTACTGTTTCCAAAATGCTCTTCCACTGAAAGGTCAGTCACCTGGCCAGGTTCATTAGCCAATACAAGATCCAGAATGACCCCTTCTCTAGTTGGACTATCCACATACTATTTCAAGAAACTCTCTTGGATGCACCTAACAAATCCTGCCCTGTCTAAGCCCCTTGCTCTAAGGGAGCCCCAGTCAATATTGGGGAAATTAAAGTCACCATTGTGACAACCCTGTCGTTATTGCACCTTTCCATTATCTACCTACATATTTGTTCCTCAATGTCTCAGTGGGTGTTGAGGGAGCCTATAAGTGTAATCTTAATAGATTGATTGCTGCCATCTTATTTTTGAGCTGTACCCATATTGCCTCAATGGACGTGCCCTCCATTTATTAGAATTGGAAGATTAATTATGTAGTCTGAATATCGTTTCAGACATTTATATAAGACGAGATTTCTTGGCCTTCTGCTTATTTCCTACAAAGCTGTCTCTTCAAATCTCCTCCGCTGTCCCATGATTGTTGACTGCCTGGTTGACATAAGTGCTTCTTGAATATAACCACTGTGGGTCAAAACACTCCTGGTTCTAATATTCTTGAAGTCTGGAGTCATAGAACATAGAACAGTACAGCACAAGAATGGGCCCTTTAGCCCACGATATTGTGCCAAACATGATGCTAAATTAAACTAATCCCTTCTGCCTGTCCTTGGTCCATATCCCTCCATTCCTTGCATAATCATGTGCTTATTTAAAAGCCCCTCCAACGCCCCTATCATATCTACTTCCACCACCACCACCCCTGGCAGCATGTTCCAGATACCTACTACACTCTTGGGTGGGGAAAAAAAACTTGCCCCTCACATCTCCTCTGAACTTTCCGCTTCTCATCTTAAATGTATGACCCCTAGTATTAGACAGTTCAACATTGCATTTAACAACGTAATTTTGGCAATCCCAGAATTTCAGTCCCAGTTACTAGATTACTTTGATCAAAAGACTTTTTTTCAAAAAAATTTTTAGCCAGCATGGAAAATTTCTATTA